TGCAAGGGTATGATTAATTGTATTTAGCTTTGACATTTATGTCCATTTATTGAGCTTATTGTAGTGCATTCCCTGCCTATGTATATATCTAATATAATCTGTGGCCTAACAGCCAAATTGTATGTTTCCTTTGGTACGATTTATATACATATGTCCACATAGTTCGTAGCGAGAATGTTACTTACTCCCCAGGATGCCATTAAATTGTCAGTGAGGACAAGGACGAGCACAAGCACGAGACCGTGGGTGGAGTGAGAAATGTTACGTCATTTCTCAGGACTCAGGACTCGGGACTCTGAACTCAGAGTCAGAGCTTGGGACTGACAACATGGACGTTAACGCTTTAATGCCTGTCAGTCGCATGGCTGTAGCTCCTTAATCGTTTAAGCGGTCGTCGCTCGAGGGGATTCCCCTGGCTGAGCGGAGCAACCCTTTGGGCCGACATGAAATGTGGGCTAAAGGAATTAGCCCGATTGCCAAAATGACTTCCATTCTTGTTTATTACCAAACAGTTTGCATTTTTTGGCTTAAAGCTTTGTCCGTCCCAGTGGGTCCATCTGTCCTTTGATGAGGATGATGTGAATGCCTCCCGCTACTTTGCATTTTTCTCGCATTTTCCTTTTTGCTCTGCTTAGTTTTTCTTTTCTCTCCGATTTTTTTTGTTTGCAGTATTTTTATTTATTTTTCTTTTCGCCAGCTAGTTGCTAGTTTATTTGGCCGTTTCGGTGGGCGTACAATAATGTAATACAATGCGGATCAGCACGCTTGACTTGCTCAACTTCTGCTGTGTGTTTTTGACACTTTGTTGGCTTGGCTGCTCCTAAACCTCTCTTCGCTTCCGAGTCCTGGTCCGAATCCCAGTCCCAGTCCGAGTCCTTGGTATCTGCCCTGGTTTCGAGGTCCTGGTTTGTTAATCCGCTTTGATGCGTATCTAAGAGATATATGTATGCGCCAGTGTTGCTCATTTGTCCTTATTTTTCGAGAGAGATATATGGGCTTGTATTAAAATGGAATGATTTCTGGAATCTTGATTTGTATATTGCTTTATTACTCAATGCTCTTATCTTATTTAAAATTATAGGACTGTAAACCTTAGTTATGATTGTTTTAGAGATAATATAAAAAGGCTTCTATAGTATTTTTTTCTTGTTTCTTCAGACATTTCACTAAAGGTAAAAATAGAATCACTTTTAAGTTAATGAAATTGGTTTTCTAGCTTGTCTGCATATAAATTTGTAATACAATCATAGTAAGAGTAAATTAAGGAACTTCTAGATTATATATTCCTATATATCATTAGAAAATCATCTCAAGAAATGTAAATATTCACCTGTTGTATGAAAATTGACTCTTGTATTTATCCTGTCTCCCATTTTTTTTTGCGTGTGCTCTCCCTGACAGCACTGATTTATTTCCTCATGTGTGTCCTGTTAGATGACCTCCTGTCATCCACTGACGAACGGATACTGGTCGACATCAAGTCAGCTTGCTGGTCGTATTTTTTGTGCGTGCCACATCACTGATTACCGCTCGGGATTGGATCGAGGGGCATAAAAACGATTGATATCAATATCGGCAATGGCAATACATGAAGTAACACGTGACATGTGATGTCCTGTCATTAGGTCGCTGGCAGTAACCTTCTTAGTTGCTGACAGCGTGCCAGTTTTGATGTTTTATGGCTGTTGTTGCTATTTTTCTTTTCTGGGCATCTTGTAATTGAGGTCGTGCAATAAAATTCCTAGGCAGTTACAATTTGATGGCCGCTGGCAGTGTGAATTTCTTTGGCCTTATAAAATATGTAACCGCTCTTACTTTCTTCCCCCCACCTGTCTTCCTTCCTGTCAACTCTCAACTTTAATGTCGAGTCCTTTTCCAGCAATTTAGTATTGCAAAGTTAGATCCTAGCTGGTCTTCAAGTTTTCCAAAAGAGTTCAAAAACTCCGCGGGCGGAAAAAGGCCCATAAAATCTAAGCATTTAATTCGGCCTGATGGCTCGGGGGCGTAGAACAAGCTTTATATGCAATTGTTGCCAAATACCACGAGACGTTGTAAAAAACGTATTTTATTGTGGCAATTGAATTGCGAATGGGCGTGGAATTGAGTAATCAAAGGCAGGGCCTGGGTACCGCATCAAATAAAATTGCCTGCGAGAGGAAATCGCAGTGGCAATCACAACTGTGTCCCCCAAAACGGTGCCTGCGGCTGTCAACAATTATTATTCAGATACGTTTTTTTACAATACCCCCATTGCTTCCCGGTAAAATTAAGCATCAAGAGTAGAGAAATGGCTTGCTAAATGCTTCATTTTCCGGATCTGGCCAGCACCCAACCCCATAAATGGTCAATTAATCAGAAATGGGGTCATAAATCAGGCAAACGTCTTTGCAAAGTGGCTCCAACTGAATACCCAGAGAAAAAGTTAAGATTTCTTAAATCTCAAAGTTTTCTTGAAAGTGTTGAGTTTTGGTTTGACAAAGCTAATAAAATAAATGTTCCTTGGATGTTTTCGGCTGTTTTAGTTACTAAGAAAGTTAAAAACTTTTAAAGTTACTCTTGGAGTGCGATTTGATATCTTTTTTTAAGCTGTCTTAAAGTTTGACATGTAATGTTTAAGGTACTATCCTAAATTCAGTTTAAATTTGTTTTATATTTTTTTCAGCAGGTCTAAGTTCATTGAAATGGGTCTTTTACATTTATTATCTTTGATAATTAAAAATGAAATTCTATTTAATGTTTATTGGTACAGACATTTTCCGGTTATTAATTGCAATAATCATTTTAAAATTCGATGAACATTTTCTTACATGTTGTCTAAATACATTTCCCAAGTATTCACAATTTGTTTTTGCAAAGTAATATTACATACTTACTTACTGAAATACTTAAATTGTTTTGCTTTGTCTATACTTTTCTTTTGCTATCAATATTAACCTCAAGTTAGCATAGTTTAAAAGTTAAATAAATTATTCATGCTAGACTGCTATTTTGAATGCTAAGCATCCTTCTCCCTGTGTAATTGGTTAGAGGGCCAGGGACTTGTTTGCTATCTGTCGAAGGCCAGCTGACGCCTTGCGAAACTTTTAACTCGGCAGCTTTTGCGCTTATCATTGGCCGCCTGCCGGGGTGAAGGGTCAACGGGTTGGGTCGGCCTTTGTGTCTCACGCTGATAAGCCGGGAGTTTCGGTGCACCTGTCCAGGATGCCGCCAGTCAACTGCCTTTTGACATCTGTTTTTGCCAGGGAATGGGACTGCAAATGGGAATGGGACAGGGTTCATTGAATTAAGATCTTAATTGCTGCAATAAATTTGTACAAATTCTGCAATGCTCAGCTGAGCAAAGTTCCCACAATTTGTGTAAAAATAAAATGGCGTAATTGGCGTAATTAGCCAGCGTTTTGCAGTCTCTTTCTCGCTGCTTATCTCGGTCTCTTTCGGCGCTTCTGTTTGACTTACCTATTATGCTATTTTGCCATTTGTTATGCTAATTGTTCGCCTTTGTGTGCCATTCGCACTTGACCCACAAATCGGAGGCACGGAAAACTGTGACAAATCGTCATCAATTCGGGCAACTCCTTGCCACTTCCGTTTCCGCTTTGCCGCATTTCCGTTCCACCCCTTTCCAGGCGCCATTAGGAATCCCTTTGGCGCCAGGTGTGTGTGTCGCGCGATGTTCAAAAGGGAAAAGGGAATCCCATGCCATCACACATCCGTCGCTTCCACCTGGCAACCGCAGCAGCCGACTAATCATGATTAATTTGCATCAATTTGGGTTGAATCTATTTTTAGGCATTCGTCACCATTCGCTGCAAAGTCGTCTTTAGGAGCTTCTTTCGTTACCTCCTGGGAATGTCAGTTGAGCTTATTCGGATTTCGTCACTGAAGAAATGTGACACCCAAGTTTGGCTAAAGTGAATTTGAGTTTTACTTATTGGCAAACTTTTAAGTCGGCCATAAACCATCAAGATTTCTCATTCAGAGGGAGTCGATTGATTCACGAACTCGGTATCATATTCAATTTAAAAGCTAGATCTGCGTATACTTGTTTTCTATGATATTTAATATTAAACTTTAAATTTAAAGATGAAGTTAGCTGAACTCTTTCACTACTTTTTTTCTGTAATATATCCTGTACCAATGCCCAAATTTAGTTGGCTTTGATTTTAAAATATAATCTATACATATATATAAATAAATGGCTGTGAAGTTAAATTAAATGTGAAAATAATGAACAAATAGGTATTTTTCCATTGCGTTTTATTACACTTTGTATGGCAACTTGTTTAAACTATTTATAAATTCACTTCATTTCTATTTAATTTGAAATATTTGGCATTTCATTCATTTTTAAGGCAACTTGTTTCAACCCTTTTTACATGCCCTTTATAAAATATTTTCCACCCTTTTGGTTTTAAATTTCATCGACGGTCCGACTCGCAATTGAATTGAATTAATTAAACTTATTTTTGCGCTATCAAGAGCATAGCATTGTGTATTTTTTACGGCAGCAGCATATTCTGACATCCATGAAGGAAAGTAAACATTTTGCTATTTGTTTCTTTAACAAAATCATTCCACTCTCCGGCCATCATAGCCCCAAGCTAACCACCGACAATGGTCAAAGGGTTGTGGGAGTCCTGGCATCTGGTCAACGCAGACATCGAAAGGAGCAAAACTTCAGACAACTTGAGGGACACGACACACTTTCTGTTATATTTTCGTTTTGTCAGGGATAACAGAGAAAATGTTTTTATTCCAGTGTCCTCCAGAAAAGGACACTCCCAATGGGATGGCCAAACTACGTTTAATTGTGTATGCATGGGTCGACAGCCCAAAACGTCTTAATGCATAATCGAGTGTGGTGTCTGTGTGTGTTTTCATTAGAAAAACCTTTTTTTTGCTGAATCAGCGATTTCCCGAGATCCTTTTGATGAGATTTCACTTGAGTTTGATTTATGGGTCACCTAATATATTTTTTTATTTTTCCTCCTCCTTTGCAGATAGCTTTAATCGGCGTGCCAGCTCCATTTAAATAGTCAGTAACGGAAGTCCCTATTTTCATCATTTGCCCACAGACCCCGACGACGACGACGAAGGAACCTATATACACAATTAGCCATAGTGGATGGGTTCACTGAATCCGTTTCCGAGAAATTCCGACCCGCACGCGGAAACCGCAGCAGCAGCACCACCACCACCGGCAGGAGCACTCGGCGAAAATTTCCCCGGGCGAGGACCTGAAACACCCGACAAACAAACAAACAAACAGAGGCCACCACAATCCAATGTCGGACACCATCTCCTTTGAGCTGGGCTCCGCCGCCGACCGGCCCCCAAACAGGTTCCAAGTGAATCCGGTAAATGGCAACAGTCGCAAGGCGCAGGATGGTTTTGGACCCGCACCCGGATCTGGAGCCGGAGCTGGAGCCGGATCCGGAGACAGGGGCACCGGAGACGACAATGGGCCGCATGAGGTCTACCGCCGACTCACAAATGCCGAGGGCGAGCTGCTCGAGGACGACACATTCGATGCGACACAAATGCTCAACCAGCACCAGCCCAGGCAACAGAGGTGAGTCCTTATGGGTTGGGAATAGGATGTAATGGGTCAGGGTTCAAGCGACAGCAGGCTTCCTTTGAGAAGACACTTTAATTAAAGTATGATAGGGAAGGTTTTATCGATTATCTAAATAACTTAAATGGGAGAAACCTACTAAGATAGGAGTTTTATTTAAAATATTTAGAATATTACCTAAGCATTTAAGTAATTTTATAGTGAGAAGTGTAACAAACAAAACACATTTTCCAGTGTACTCCGGGTTTGACAACGGGTGCGGTTTTTGGGACTTGTCCTAGCCGACCTTTTCCTTTGTCTATTTTACTGGAGAATGGAAATTTGTTGAGTTTTTCATTTTCTGGTAATTGTTTAGTGTTTCATCAAAACAAGGATTGCTTTTGTCGCCTCCTGTATTTTGTCCTCGCTTAATTATGGCGTTAACATTCCGCCCTTGTTCCATCCGTCCACAAAGGACAAAGCGTCGAAAGAAGGACCCGGAATGCCTGAAAATGCCATAAGAATTATCGTTCCAACGACAGAGTCCTTTGAATGAATTACGGCGTTAAAGGGACCCTAGCTTAAATATCATTTAGTTGGAATATGGGTGACAATGCAGATGATGAGATTGATATCCTTGAAAAGCCGACTGAAGCTGAGTGCTAACATGCCGGCCTCGATGCGATGACGGTTAATCATTCACGCCACATTTGAGGCAATTGTAATTTTCAGTCCATCAGTTTTTCCAAGCCAATCATTCAAAATTGATTAAATTCCGTTTGGAATCCATGAAGTTTCCCGAGGAGCACAATGAATTTGACCCGAATCGTGTCGCATCTATCAAATGGCCAAGAGTTTGCCGACCTGCGAAATGGTTCAACACTCGCCCAAAAATAGGTTCAACACTCGCCGGGCAGAAATCAAACAAAGCCACCAATCAGAGACCGTGGTAATAACCATCATTTTCGCTTTGTGCTCCCCCATTGGCAGTGGACAGCCAATTTGCATAGTCCTGTTGATTCCGATGGCTCCATCTACTCCTTCGAGAAGGACACTATAAAAATGTCCAATTCGATATGTCCCGTGTCTACGTCTTCTGTGGGTTTCCCCAGCCGAATTATGATAATGAGGCTTATGAAAATATTATGGCCCCGTTTATGGTCCCACCCCCACTTTAAGGAGCCTGCCACATCCTGGCAAATCGTGCAGCCACGGCAACTGTATTTCGATTACGAGGAAAGCGGTTTCATGTAAAAATGCCTTTTAATCGGCTCAAATTGGCAGCCATCAAGGACAGAGGGAGAGAGAGCGAGAGGAGTTTCTGCATAAATTAATGATAAGCTTACTTAAGGGGCATCCTTGAGTTTTAAGCAACTGAGCACTGAGCCTTCCCAGATTGATAATTAATTCTTGGATTTTCTCCACCCCCCTCCGGCGTCACAAATTAAATCAATCCCATTGACATACAATCGAGTGGATCATCATTATGGGTGCTCTCCACGTTCGCGTTTCAAGTAATTCGAAGAGCAACGCAGACATTCCTTACAGCAAACACAGCATCACATAAATTGCTCCGCTGACAACGGAGCATATATCATATAAATATCTGGGGGCCATTGAGCAAATACGTTTGGCGAATTGCTGAAAGGAGCAAGTCGATTAAGGACTCGCAACTCGACCGAAGGATACTTGTTAGTTGGTCTCTTAGGAGCTAGTCTTTTGATGAATATGTTGGCTTTTATAAAAGATGTTAAACAGTATGTGAATTTATTTAATTATCCCGTTTAGTTTTACCCTTAATTATAAATTAAATAGATTCCTAAAACCAGTAGCTAACTAACTTTATAAATAGAATGAAAGGAAAGTTTCCCTTCCTGCTCAGTTCAATCCAAAAAGTTTCTTTTTTGATCCTAGTGTTTAGCACATTTAGTAGTTACCATGTTGCTCAAAACTTGTCTCGGTGCAACCAGCAGGGTGTCGGGTTGTCAGGATGTCGAGACGCCGAATCGGTGGGCTGCCAGGATGTCAAGAGCTCAGCCATGCAACACATTAACGGTGCTAAAGGCACAGCGCTCGCCCCTAGAATGCCGAGTGAGTGCGAGGTCGCGCTGGTTGAATGGCCTTCTAGGCGCGTGGGCGTGTCCTGGGGCCGTCTGCTCTGTGCTAGACTGCTGCTGTCCTGGCAGACTAACAGACTGGCATCCTGGCATCCTGGGATACAAGCAGCATCTGGGTCCTCGGCACAATGAGCGGCAATCAAAAAGTGCAAGTTTGTGTTCGAGGGTGTGAGCACAACTAAATCGAAATAAATTCAATTGAGTTTCATTGAACAGAATTGCCTGATAATGAAAGCTATTGGGCTGTGGGTTTAAAATTGAATCCTTGTTCACTGGGCGTGTCAAGTCGATTGGCTTTTAATCTAATCTGAGCGCTTTTTTTGTGCAACTCGCCCAATTAAAGTGGTAACCATGGGGAAACATGGAGCGTGTGGGCTTGGGTAAATGTGAATTTTGTAAAAATAATGAGCATGTCCTTTGTTTTTCTTTTTGTTTCGCAACGCAGGCAATCTATCAAGAGCAGCTTCCGCGACAAGGATAAGCCGTCAAGGTTCAAGGATCTACAGACGACAACCCGCTTCCAGGTGGACCCCCAAAATGAAGAGTCCGATGAGTCCAATGACTCGCAGGAGGAGCGTGAGCTGCTGGACAACGAGTATGATACAAAATATGGTAAAAGTTTCCGGTCAGTTTGCATTGCTCCCGTCCTTTTTACACAGAGAAAAGATATGGTATACCTTTTTGCAAAATCAGATATGATCTCTTAAAAGAAAAGAGCAGCTTGAAGAGTGAAAGTTGTATTGAGTTCTCTAACTCCTAAACTCTAAAAGAATTACAATTATAAAGCAGGGACTTAAACTAACTTAAGTTCACTTAAATTCCTATTTCGTATTGTGTCTCTGTGTTATTTTTTCTCTGTGTACCCTTTCCTGCACTGTCGAATCTGCCAGATTAAAACCCATCTAAACTCCCTCAGGCACTTCACGCGGGAGGCGTTACCCCGCCTGGACAACTACCGCAACATGATGTCCATCCAGGCTGCCTACCGTCCAACGCTCGACGAGCTGCACAATGCCACGCTGGTGGGCAAGGTGAGTCCTCCTCATCCGGATCCAGATCCGGACCGGGCTTTGGGATCGGGTCAACTAAATGGATATTAACGCGGGGGTCGTAAACGCCAAGGGCCACAAATTACAATTTCGCAGTGCCCATAAAATAACAATACTCGGAGCTTTACGAGTTCAAGGCGGGGTTGCAGTCAAATTTAAATTTATACTTAAATGCCCCCGCGAAAATTTGGGAAAATTCCTAACCCGTAACCCGTAACCCGTAAACCGTGAGAAGTGACCCGGACCCGGCAGTGTCAATCCCTCTCCGGCCAAGTGTCGCCCCGTCTCAAAACGAAAAAGGCATTGGCGTCGCAGGCACATGAGCGTGACTACGAATGCCACCAGGAGTCAAATTTTCCCATCGGTCGTTGGCATTGCAGTCAGCTAGGGAAATCCCGGTGAAGTCCCTGGGAAATTGCTTGTCAAATACAATATTTGTGGCCGGAGACCCGCATTGCCGCACAGAAAATGTACTACTCTTTCGGCAGACTTTAGCCATTAAATTTGACTATGCAGCTGGAGAGTCCAGTGACTTTTCGTTTGACTTTTCACTTTTTAAGCACTTCTCAATGAATCACTTGGAAAAGTTTTCCAAAGTAAAGAACAAGTGCAACGCCACCAATTGACGCTAATTGATTTCCACACTCTTTCGCCTAATTGTTTGCGTCTTTGGGTCTCAGTCCCACAATTGGCTGACCAAATGACTGTCAATAAGAGCAAATAAATTGTTATGGGCTGTGTCTGAAGGTTCGTTGAGAAATTGATGCCTTGCACAAAAATTCCAAAATGTAATCCATGATGCAATTTCATGAGAAATTCACTTTTTTGTGAATTTAATGCTGAGCAAGACTCGGTATATTAATTAAGCAGAACTCACTTTCAATGCCAACTGAGGCATCTTGTAATAATAAGCAATTAAGACCGGGTCTCGTTAAAAGTGCAAGGTTCACGGGTTCAATTGGATTCACGGGTGCTGCGGTTTCGGGGGCGTATGATTAATCTATTAATAATGTCATGACTGGGGGGGCCTCTTGTCGGAATTCCCGGTGGCTAAAGTCATCCATTTCCCTGTGGGGATTTTTTTGTGTGTGCTTGACAAAAGAAATAAAAAACGAACAGAGAGGAGGAGCCTTTAAACTCACATGTTTCCCTTGTCCCTGACCCAAAATTACGAATAGAATAGATAGACATTTACCCCACCTGCAGGCTGTTTCGCCTGTTTGCCGAATCATTTATCAACACTTGACAGCTTTATTGAAATTTTCTCAAGCACCTCATACCCTTTTTGAAGACCATTTGTACACTGAGAAAGAGAGTTTAAGATGGTTATATACATTTTAGAAATTCAGGTGTTTCTATAAAGATTTGATTACAATTTTCTTTCGGTGTTTCTTCATAGAATACGCACAGCTTGACGCGCAATCAGGACCCAGAGTCGGGCATCATGAATGGAATCTTGAAATTCGGCTGGATCAAAGGTGTGCTCATCCGCTGCCTGCTGAACATCTGGGGCGTGATGCTCTTCCTCCGGCTCAGCTGGGTGGTGGGCCAGGCGGGCATCGTCGAGGGCTTCGTATTAATCCTGACAACGACCGCTGTCACGACCATCACGGCCTTGTCGATGTCGGCGATAAGCACTAATGGTGTCATCAAAGGAGGTGAGTCGCATCTCCGTCCCCCTTGTGGTCGCTCTTAAATGGTTCCAAGTGATTCTCTGACACACACAATCCACACCCCGCATCTAGGTGGCACCTACTACATGATATCCCGGTCCTTGGGGCCGGAATTTGGTGGCTCCATCGGTCTAATTTTCTCGCTGGCAAACGCTGTGGCCTGCGCCATGTATGTCGTGGGCTTTTGTGAGTCCATGCTGGCCATGATGACATCCTTTGAATGGTCGATCGTCGATGGTGGCGTCCAGGATGTGCGAATTATCGGTTGCGTAACAATCCTGTTGCTTCTGATAATCGTCGTCGTCGGCATGGAGTGGGAGGCTAAGGTGCGTATTCCGATTTTCCATAGTAACGAGTACATGGCTTACCTTTCATTGACAGGCACAAATCGGATTACTCATCATTTTGCTGGTGGCCATTGCCGATTTTGTCATTGGAAGCTTCATAGGGCCAAAGAGCGATCTGGAAATGGCCAAGGGCTTTCTAGGCTACAATGGTGAGTCTGGATATATAATGGTGTTTAATTTGTGGTCACAATGAGACATTGCTTTTCAGCCACGTTGTTCAAAAATAATATGTTTGCGGACTATCGACCGGAAAAGGGTGGAATCCATCATGACTTCTTCTCAGTATTTGCCATATTCTTCCCAGCAGCCACGGGTATTTTGGCTGGAGCCAATATTTCTGGTGATTTGAAGGTTAGTTTTAATGTTGGCTTATCTTAGTTACTCGTAAAAATTATTAAATAAGTAAAGAAAGAACTTAGTGATTTAATGGTATATGTATTTTCCTTTACCTTTACCTTTTAGGACCCCCAAAAATCCATTCCAAAAGGCACGATCCTTGCTATCATCATTACCACGGGAACCTATTTAATTATGGTCCTGCAGTGCGGTGCCACAGTGGCTCGCGATGCCACTGGAAATCTGACGGATGTTGTCAATGGCTCCTATTCATTCCTTGACTGCCAGCCTGGTAATTAATTTCTTTTCTTCATTTAATTTACTTCATCATGATTATTTATAGCTATATATATTTTTTGCTTTCAAACTTTCTAGGTGAATGCGCTTATGGCCTGCAAAATTCATTCCAGGTGATTGAACTGGTCTCTGGCTTTGGCCCCCTGATTTACGCTGGCTGCTTTGCTGCTACTTTGTCCTCGGCTTTGGCCAGTTTGGTTTCAGCTCCAAAAGTATTTCAGGTAAGAAAAGATTAAAAATTGAGTTTAATTATAGATTTAAGTGGGTTAAATTCATTGCAGGCTTTGTGCAAGGACGAGCTATATCCCAAGATAGTTTGGTTTGCCAAAGGTTATGGCAAGAACAATGAGCCAGTGCGTGGTTATGTGTTGACTTTCATTATTGCTTCAGCGTGAGTACTTTTTCTATATATTTATCAAGGGTTTTTGTTTAGATTACCTATTGAAAGCATAACATATATTTTATGACTGCATTTCTTACCTTTGCAGCTTCATTTTGATCGGCGAACTGAATCTGATTGCCCCGCTCATCTCGAACTTCTTCCTGGCTGCCTACATGTTGATCAACTTCAGTACCTTCCATGCTAGCCTGGCCAAACCGGTGGGCTGGCGTCCCACCTTTAAGGTGAGTAAGATATAGACATAATGTAGGGGCATTCCCTGATCCAAACCCCCCTCTAGTATTACAACATGTGGCTGAGTCTGCTGGGCGCTGCTCTTTGCGTGGCGGTCATGTTCCTGATCTCGTGGGCCACCGCCTTGATCACCTTCGCTGTGGTGCTGGCACTGTACTTAATTGTGGCCTACCGGAAACCGGATGTTAACTGGGGCTCCACCACGCAGGCGCAGACGTACAAAAACGCGTTGATGTCAGTGCAGCAGCTGAACAATGTGGAGGAGCATGTGAAGAACTACAGGCCTCAGATTCTGGTCTTATCCGGTTTGCCCAACACCCGGCCCGTTCTCGTGGATCTGGCCTACATGCTCACGAAGAACCTGTCGCTGCTGGTATGTGGCCACGTGGTCCGGGGCTCCAGCTCCCAGAAGTATCGGACATATCTGCAGGAGCGAGCAGCCAATTGGTTCCGCAAGCACCGTGTCAAGGGCTTCTACGCCTTGGTGGATGGTGAGGATTTCGAGTCGGGCACCAGGGCCTTGATGCAGGCCTCCGGTATCGGGAAACTCAAGCCAAACATCATCCTGATGGGCTACAAGACTGACTGGCAGACGTGCGAGCACAAGGAACTGGAGCAATACTTTAACGTGATGCACAAGGCTCTGGACATGTACCTATCGGTGGCCATTCTCCGGGTTCCACAAGGTCTGGACTGCTCACAGTTGCTGGGCTCTCAGGATGGCTGGCAGACGGTCGCCGACGTTCCGAGAACCCTGCAACCGAACGAGAGTTCCAATGACCTACAGGCTGCGGACAGCAGTGTCCGCAATGGTTTAGGAGGCAGCATCGACTCCCTGAGTCGCAATGTGTCGCAAGGTAAGGGGACAGCTGCGGATTCGATCGGATCCACACCGCTGAATAACCATTACAGCTAAATTATAATATTTGATTATATCTTGCATGTGTCTCTCTATTCCCCTGAAATCATCCCCCCTAAATCCGCACCTGAATAACCACACAATCAAATCGCACCTTCTGCACCACAATTGCAATCCCGTAGAGGACCGCAACCGCAACGAGTTGCTCCACAGCGAGCAGAACAGCCTGAAGATAGTCAAATGTAAGTAGCATGCCGGGCTCAAAGTGGTAAAGGTGAGCCCCAAGGATGGACCTTCAGTATATACAATTGGGAAACATACTATCAAGCCTTGCAAAGGCTTGTAAAACAGTAAAGGAATCATTTCCGACCTTTAAAATTAATGCATTTTTGGCTTAGTTATGATGTTTTAATAACCAATTTAATTTACCCAAAAAATAGCATAAAAATATCTCTTCAAAGAATGACAAGCTTAAGCTGAGAGTATGTAAATCCATTTGACTTTAAACTGAAGGTCCACCCAATCCCAAAACCTTACCTTAAACCCAAATCCAACAATTTTGTGTTTCTTCCGGGGATTTTTGGACAAATCACAGTGCGCTTCAAGCAGGGCCTGCGACGAATGCGCTCCTGGCCAGGTGCCGGTGCAGGTGAAGTTGTGTTTTTTGTGACCAAGATTCTTTGCGTGTCTTAGAGTACTTGAATGGAATGTGAAGTTGTTGTAGGCTGAGTAGGTAAATATGAATATGAATGATCCACACGCAGATGTGCCACGCACCCAAAGAGTCACACAGACTACCACGCATGTCACGCTGCATGGAAGGCATGCCAATCAAAGCCATAAACTTTCTAGCAAATTAACGACATTTAACAGCCTAAAACTAACCTAAAGTTCTGTGGCTTTCTGGATTCCACCAGTTTTCCGTGCTGACTGACACCATCTGTGTGTTTCAGAAACCTTTTTCCGGCAATCTGTCGACTGGAAATTAATGCAATGCTCGTAAATTTGAATTTTAAATTATACTCGTACAATGTCCAGTCGCCAGTCAGAAGGGGAATTGGTTTTTGGCATTTTCGAGCCTGGCACACGTGGCCCAGGGGTCCTCGGGTTGTTTGTTTTAAATATATGTATAAATGTATATATACATCTAGAGAGAGTTTGATAATTGAAAAGCTGTTGGGGCTGCAGCTCAGTGTTAGCTATGTTGGCTTTGCATGTCCGGAATGAAATGTTGTGGCTGTGTTTCAGTCCTTGTTCCTTGGTCCTTGCTCCTCTCTGAAACTCTGACATTAAATTGTACCTCATTTGTACCGATTTAGCCTCCAGCACGAGCGACCTGTCGTTCATCGCGGGCAATCAGTCAAAGGATGTGTCCGGAATGCCTGATCCTTTGGACGCGAAATCAGCTAATCTTGTGGTAAGTTAATTGGAAATGTACTATGCGAAATATGCGTTTACTTATGCTGGCCAATCTGCATTCCACAGACCAATTCGCTGCGCAAGTCAAAGCTGAAGCACGACGATCCCGCCTCTCTGTACAAGGGTCCTGGCGGCGTTGAACTGCCCAAGGAGGTCCTCACGGACCTCACCCAGTTCACGCGGAAACGCAGCCATGCCGTTATCGATGTCTGGTGGCTGTACGACGACGGTGGCCTCACCCTCCTGCTGCCCTACATCATCAGCACTCGACGCACCTGGCAGTCCTGCAAATTGAGGTGAGCATTCTCGTATCGTGAATTACTGCGAAATTGTGGTGTGCTTCCGGCTTTAACGTTGTTCTGTGCTTCTGGCCAACGAGGAAAAGCCACCGCTGGCAATTTTCACCCTGGCGAATTTCCAGCCGTGTTCCGCTCCTAGAGAGCACTGATTGCAGAATTTTCGCTGCTGATTAGTTGTTCAAGGTCGCCGTTTGACGGAATGGGGAGGAATAGGGGTGCCATCAAAAGCAGATGTTTTTTTGTTTATGGATTGCGTTTTTTTTTTCACCCACAAGACCACCTACTCCCACAGCTAATAATGCCTTTAAATTGCTTTTTAAAATTGAACTTTCATCGGAAGCAGCAATCATTGTCGCTGTTTTTCGCATAACTTGAATTTGTTAAATGCAAATGTATATTTTTGTGTAGGAGTATGCATATTAGTTTTAGGGTATTTAAAAAAAACAAAAAAGGCAGCTAAGTTCGGCACGCCGAAGTTTGTATATCCTTGCAGATTGAAATTCGATCACTATGAATCAATTCAATTTAAATAATATATATTTATATACACATAATAATAAAATAATGCCTGCTTTCATTTCATTCACCTATACATTTAACGATCGTTTTTATGGCAGCTATATGATATAGTATTCCGATTTTCATAAAATTTTAAACCAAATTTTACACAAAATTTTAGATTAATATATAATGGCTATATATCAAAATTGATGTAAATCTGTTGAAAACTGGAAAAGATATATGTTTTCTCAACATTTTTCGATCGTTCCTATGGCAGATAATATATACATATAATATAATAATATATATATATATATATAGTCCACCGATTTGCCATGCTCCGATTTATATACTAGTAAAATTAAATAGAAGAATAACTCCATAGTTTCATTCAAATAGCTTGCTCTTTGTTCCAAAACACATCTCGCACATCTGTGTATATGATTCTCAACTGGTTCTAACATCCCCGGAACGAAGTGACTGCTGCCGGCCAAGTTCCAGAAATGTGTTATGTTACAAAAGTTGCAAGTCATTGTTTATAAGTGTTCAAAGTGAGTAACTGATCATACATACTTACTCGTCATAGATACTTACTGGTGATAGATACTTACTGTTCAGAGTTAATTACTGATTATAGTTATTAACTGATCATAGCTACTTGCTGATTATAGTTACTTAATGTTTATTGATATTTACTGGTCATAGATACTTACTCGTCATAGATACTTACTGTTCAAAGTTAATTACTGATCTTAGTTACTTAGTGATCATAGTTAATCACTGGACATAGATACTTACTGGTGATATATACTTATTGCTCATAGTTACTTACTCTTCCTTCACTGCGTTGCAAACTTCTGCCTGAAATTATAATACCCTACAAGGGTATAATAAATATATTGTTTACATAAAAGTTTCTAGAGAAATTCGCACTTTATTACCGCAATAAATTTAATATTAAATTCTTAGAAATGTTGCCCTTTAATAGTCGTTTAAAAAAAACGTATGAATGCTAAGTTTCCGTTGAAATTATGCAGTTATATTCTCCAAAGTCTGTCAAAAACAACTGCACATATCCACGAAAAATCTGCAATGCAGTCTGCACACTTTTGCGTGGGAGAGACAAACCGAAACCCATCGTGTTGTGCACTTAAATGGACCGACTAACCTATGTGCCATGTTGCCTTTTCCACCCTCAGGGTTTATGCTCTGGCCAACAAGAAGGCAGAGCTGGAGTTCGAGCAGCGCTCGATGGCCAGTTTACTCTCCAAATTCCGGATAGATTACTCTGATCTGACCCTGATACCTGACATCACGAAAAAGCCACTGGAAACGTCAACGCAGTTCTTCAACGAGCTAATCAAGGACTTTGTGGTGGCCGACAAGGAGAATGAGAACGGCAACAGCAGCAGGGCGACCCTCAACGAGGATGATGGTGAGTCCTTGAGGAGAAATTCAATTGCCTTTATGCATAAGCAATAAGGATAATAAGAAAAATTGCGTTCAGCAACTTTAATGTCTGATAGTATGCTGTTCAGCGCAATCTTTAATCAAATTTATTAAACAGAAATTCCTTTTGAGCATACAAATTTCTTTAATAATAAACAACATTTTTCCTTTGCTTCCACAGCTCTGATTACCGATGACGATCTGCTGGCGGTGCAGGACAAGACGAATCGTTACCTACGCCTGCGGGAGTACCTGCGGGAGCAGTCCACCAAATCCGATCTGGTCGTGATGACCCTACCGATGCCCCGCAAGAACATTGTCTCCGCGCCGCTCTATATGGCCTGGCTGGAGAGTCTTAGTAGGGACATGCCGCCGTTCCTGTTTGTGCGCGGCAATCAGACAAGTGTCCTGACCTTCTACTCGTAGGATCGGATCGTATCGGATCTATTGTATTTTACTTACTTATGCCACACCTACCGACACTCACACTCACCGCGCGTACGAGTATCTTATCTCCTAGAAGTACCACCCATGTACATACGTTAAGGGACACCTCCGACACACACACAGACACACACACACACACACACACGGAACGCACAGAGGCACTGGCAGCGCGGAGGAAACAGGATCCGGAAGTGGAAGCGTGAGTCCACCATTTGTTATTTCAGTCAGCCTCTGCGTTGTTAATATAAACATTTGTCCTTGCAATCGAGTTTAAATCGTATTTAAATACAGTGCAAATAATTTTTAAATGCCTATTTATTTAACTCCATTTGGGGAAGAGAGCGAAGTGCAATTAAACATTGATTTAATTATGCAATCCAAAGTCAGGTAATATTTGTTAATGTTCAATATAAAGCCTTGTGGTTTAACAAATAAATGTGAAAAGTATTGAATTTATAAGCTCCAAAGCTTAACATGGTAGCATATAAAAACCGCGAGATTTAAAAAATTAATATAAAGAGTATTGAATTCATTAGCTTAAGAGCTTAAAGTGAGTGATATATAAAAGTATATTTCATTTTTTTTTAAATCTACATTAAATGTTTATTACCTGAAATGTATATTTTCCTTTGAAAGACTTATGAATGTTGTATGTTAACAACTTAATATGAGAATTCCCTTTTTCCAAAGAACTTCCTGTATTGGCAACTATAATATATAGAGCCCCATGGGGTTCGTTCTCCCACCCAAATTCAGTTGCAACATGTTCGAGTTGGACTTAGTTGCTCAGTTTTGGGTCACGCGTGGGCTTAATGGTTTGGAGTGGAGGTTGGTCCACGTAAAAGTTAAACAAACAAGAACTTAAAGTTTAACCTTTTCGTTGAGTGTGCCCCTAACTTTTGGTTTTTAAGATTTTCCGCATTTTGCGGATTTTTGCCTATTTTTGGTAAGGACAGCAGTTCGGCTAAGACATAATCCTTTTATGTTATTATTAAACTTAGTGACCTTAAAAGGGTTATATCTCTGGGTCTGTGGATATTTTAAGACTGTACCCTTACAGGGTACATATTGCAATTTAGAAATTGGATTCTATTTCCAGGTTTAGATCGAAAGCTGAAAGCTTTTTGGAAGTGGAAGCATTGCCGCCTTCCATTATCACAGCGCAACTTCTCCCGCTGACCATTGCATATCAGTTCCTCTCGCGATAAGCATCAGAAATGAAAGAACAAATAAATAAAACTAAGACAAGTAGATCGGCGGAAATAAAAGTGAAATACGTGAAAGCAAAAACAGGTGCCCAAAAAGTGTTAGTGGAATAAAAGTGAAGTGAAAAGTATTAGTGAAGTCAGTGCAAGACCTAGAACAGCCTCTGTTGTGGATTATTTTTGTTCTTTATTTTCAAGTGCCCCAAGATCGATCGAGCGATTGTTCTAGTGATTTTTTGATGTATTTTTTATATGTGAAAGTGAAAAAGAAAGAGTGTGAGAGTGAAAAGTGTTACTTAGTTAGTACCACAATGGAGGCCAGGCACCTGTCGCGTTGTTTACATAGTCAAAATCAGTGCGTAATTTTAATATTGTTTAACTGCAAAGACAATGACCTACGTGGTCCACTAATTCACCGTTGGGATCGATCTGGAGCAGCAACTAATGCAAATGAGTGAGTGAAACAAAAGTATTTTTATCTTACTCTTAGCTTTGTTTTTCTATTTCTCCCCTCCCTCTTCTCCCTGACTATCTGTTTCTTATCAACCTGTAAATTGGAACCTAAGAGCGGGAGAGCCGCTTTAAGAATATGATCCACTCTTGTGGCTGCTAATTTTGGAAGCTGGAAAGCTGCCTTTGTTTACCTTTTTTTCGGGGCAATTTGTGAATGAAAAAAGCCAGCAAAGCTTAATGAAGACTTGTTTTTAATAAACTAATAACAGACAGACTATCAAGCTCCCTTTAACATTTGCTATTTTTAGTGTTTCTCTTTGGTGATTAATTAGCTACTGAACAAATGCAAAACTATGTAGTTCCCAGTAACATTGCAGAGCAAAATTAACCTAAATTAGTGCTGGCATTTCCATGAAATACTCAACTTTATACCAGGAAGATTCTAGAGCTAGTGCATGGTTGGATTATCATGGCTAGTTGCGAATTGTGGTTGGGTTTAAAGTTTCTTATGGTTTCTGAAGAAACATATAAACCTTTCCCTTAACTGCAATAATATAAAGTTATTGCAATTTGATAGTTTCTCTTTGCATTTTCACATCAAATCGCTTTACAAGCAAGATGCAATTCAATTTATTTTCTAGGAACCAATGAAAATCTCTGATTCTATGAATAAAGTGTTTCTGCAGCATCTTAAGCTTTGTGGTCCTTCCACTTAATCGTGATTGCATTGACTTCCAGAGTAATAATATTTTAAAATACAAAATATACGATTTAGATCACTTCACAGTTTCTAATGGGCATTCATAGCTTTGGTTATTTCCAGAAAAGAACAAGCTTAGTTCATGTCAGGGTCGCGATGGTAACATCAGAAAGCCATATTTGCCGAGCAATTATTGTGCAATTCATATGTAAGAACGCATAATAGCATGTAACTTCATTTATTGTTCGGTTCATGGCGTGGCTATTAAAATATAATGAGTCTTTTCATGATCCAAATATGACGAGCGTTTCTATTATTAATGATTGCCTTTCTAGTGGACACTCAGGACTCTGTTTTTTATTTACCTTCGTCTGGGTCCTTTTTATGTACGTGTTGTATCCTTTAAGCTGTTTTATTTCTGGGCCATGTTTGGCGTTTTGTTTGGCCAAGTTTTATTGTGGCCCAGTGAGTCTATGCCGGCATTACATTGCTTATTTCTGGTAAAATATGGGGGCTTAACTTTATGTTTTCCTCGACGGTTGCGGTGAGTTGGGTACGACAGTTACATATACGTTTTAAAATGCAAGTTGCACGGTAGCTTACTAAATTGTTATAAATTGAGAGAAACCATCGCAATTGCGCCATTAATATTAATGCCTTTGATGGGGTTTTTAATTTAATACTGTCGGTGGGAATCGGAACAGGAAGTTCCGAGTCCTTGGAAGATTACCGGGAGCCCCTTTTATGGCAGTTCGCGGTTATCTTGGCTTAAACTGCATTTAGCGGCAGTCAAATGGCAATTCAATATACTCGGTCATAAAGCCTCGCTCGACTTCCTTTGTTTCGATTCGATTTCTTTCTCGTTTTCGAGTTCGACCCCCTGCGGCACTTGAGACCCCAAAACATCGAAGGTCACAGACCCGGGAGGGCGACAAAATCGGGATAAGGGCCAGGGACTTGTTGATTTCTCGCTTCATAGCGCCAAAAACGTAAATAAATATTTAACAAGTAAGCCATTGTCATTCGCACGCCACCACAAAGGAGCGCAGATCGAAGAATCGAAGAATCCTGGCCATCAGGTCTCTGGCGGCCAACAAACTCTGGCCAAGAAAAAAAGCCACACACGTGGCCATTTTGTAGAACTTTGCACTTTGTCTTGAAAAGTAAACAAAATGTGGACACTCCTCTTGAACTGGACATAATGTATCTTTGTATAATGTATCTTTGTATCTTTTTTCTTCGGTCTCCCTCCTGCCTCCTGGCTTGTGGCTAACTAGTGACTTGAATAATAACTTTTCGCCAGAAAATAATAAAAATAAACAAATATGCAAAGACTTAAAGAGAAGCAGATTTTATAAATCACTCTATAAGCTCTTTGCTGCCATTGACTGACACTATTCTTGACTCTGCTTAACAAGTTTCCTGAATGCATCCTGCGGGTTGTCTGGGTATTTCCACCTGTCTCGCCATGAATATTGCAAACACAGACTCCGGCTTTTGCTCAGGGAACGTCTTGCTTCCAAATCTCTTTATTATTTGTTTTATTTGTTTAAAGGTGAATTTTCCTTGATATTTACAGACCATAATCTAAAGGTTTTCTGCTGCTGTCTGACAAGTTTTTTTAATTCAATTTATTATTACGCCCTGGAATAATTCATTGGCAGGATATGAATATGTACATTGAAGAATTTATTGAAGCAGGAATGCTATTTGCTTTACTAATGCCTTTTGTTTGCATTCCCGGCAGGCAAAAAGCTAAATGATTGAATTCAGTGACAAGTAAATAATCACTCAAAATGCAATTATAGTGAAATAAGTCAAGCTTCAATGAAAGTACATCCCTTAAAGGCATAGTTTATGGCATTATGCTTAATTAATTAACCCCAAAGGATTAAAGTTATCTCCTCCTTCAGTGGCATTTTCACATAAACTTCTCATCATTGTGTTACATTTTATTCAAGTTCACAGCCAGCGGAGCGTGTTCCAAGCAATTGTGTTTTCTTGGCGCGTGTGTCGTTTGTCGTTGTGTCGCTTAAATCAATTAAGCGTTTTGACAGAACAACAAATGAACTCGTGCGTAGCCAAGCGGTAATGCGTGTGTGTATGGCTCAGGTCGCAGGATCTGCTCACAGGACTCACCCCCGTGGACTAGTGTCATCCCATAGTAGTCTCCTTGCCAGCCGATTAAGCACTTTACGTGCTGCAGTTAACGCTCCCGCCTAATGGCAGATGCCTGATGGCTGATGGCTGTCCTCGTGACGGATGCTGCGGCACAATAACATACGCGGCTCGTACATCAAAACTAAAGTTTGCTCGGGCGGAATGGCATCGGGGTGGAGTGAAACTTTGTTATTTGATTGCCCTCGCCTGTCAACACATTGCGGCCTTCTAATAAGTCGCCTCATGGCCACAATGTGGCTGCTGGGCGCCTTTCATCGGGTTGGGGATGCGAGTGTATCCTCAGTTGGTTGTCACGCGAGTGGGCAACTAAAGCCGGAAATGGGGAAAAGGACACGCAGGACCTGCTTCGTTGCGTTCCACACTCCTTCGAATTCAATCCCAACAAATTTATACGCAATTCTCGTTTGTGCTACTGTGACGCTGATTGTGACAGCGCAAAGAGCACAGCAGAGTTGCTATGAAAACACACACTTGTAGGTCCTGGCATTTGAATTTCAGGATGCTGCTGCTGCTGCTGTTGTTTCACTGCTTCTTGGCTTAAGAAAATACCACTGGAAAAAGGGGTTTCCCCTATGTACAGTATCTTTAAGTTTCTTTTCTGGTTATGATATTTAGTTTATATTAAATGGAGCATTAGTAGAGTTTCTATATTCAACTGATTTAATCTTAAAGAGACACAAAAATTAAACAAAAAGTCTTTAGGAAATATAACTTGCTTTTAAAAACACTTTAAAATTTATTCTCAAGAATTACAGCGATTTTTTTAACCTTTTAATGTAGCCTTTAAAGATTTATTTAATGTTTAAAGATCTCAATTTTCCCCAGTGCATCTCTCTTACATATATGTTTGTAGTTCCTTGTGGCATGATTGCGTAATGTAAAACGGCGTTGACGCTGCCTCTCTTAGCGCGATGTTCCTGTCACTGTCTGTTTTATGAGATTCACGCTTGGGAAACAGCAGGGATCCTGGCCCCCTCCTGGCTGCTCCCCTTTGAAGATGCTCCATAAATCTTATCACATTTTTGCTGCTCCTCAAATTGAATGTGTGTGGTGCAGATGAACATTGTGAAGTGTCCTTTTCGGGGGCGGGGCATTCCTCATTCGTTATTTGTTACTCGCGGCGCGCCCTCACTTTGTACACTTTCACAGCAGAATGTCTTTCATTACATATCAAATGAAAAAGTTCGTCCTTTGCCGGGGCAACTCTCATATGCAGCTGATTCATTGATTATCGGTGGAAAATTACACGTTCGCTTATAAAATGGCAGTGCCATAACTTCTCGGAAAATGTACCACCCTGAACCCCGTTCCAGTCCCAGTTCCACTTTCAAGTCCGCGAAGGAGGTGGTCCTCGCGATTCCTAGAACGGAATGTGGAGTACTGAGCCGCTTTGCCAGGATATTGTTGTAAATAGCCCAAGGACAGACTGTCTTGTCTGTCTGTTGCTTGTATTTTTCAATTGTTGTCAATTTGCTCGATAAGCCGCTTTCGAAAGTTATTAATGCCATAATGACAGCTTCTAGCCCCCAAAGTTAATGGCATTAAATCCCCTCTGACAGTCGGCGTTCGATAAGCCTTTTCCTTTGAAATTTTGTCGGCGGCACCACGAACCACTTATTTATGAATGGGTAATTGAAATCGCCTTCTTATTCGCTTTACACAATTCAATAACAGCCCAAAAATGCGGAAAAGTCAATTAAAATACAAAGCTAAGTAGAATGGCAAACAAATAAAATCAAATCAGTCATTCAATTGTGACTAAATTATTTGCAATTCGTCACTCTTTGTGATAACTAAATTTCCTTGAAAACTAGGGATATGATATTTACTTTAATTAATTTGTAATTTGTTGGTCAAATAGAATCGAATTTGGTGAGAATTTTAGCTTTTGAATAAATTATTGTAAATGAAATTGGAGTATGCAAATAAGTAAATACTATGAAAATGAAAACTAAAACATAATTAGAGGGAATTTGTAATTTCCAACTAAATATATATTATATAGTAGTAATTAGTAATTTTCTTTGAAAGTTTTGGTCACCATCTAAGTGATTCTATGAAAATTGCTTTATAATAAAGCTTATTAAGAATCAGTTGGTTCAATAGCTTCAAGAATACTTGTATGTGTCGAGTACCCTTGAGTGACTGACACACCGATATTGGCAGGACATGCACTTTTGGTTTTAAGGGTCCTTTCATCGACTACATACATATATGTATGTTCTCCTAGTTGTCAGACTATTTCCGGCGATATACTCGTACCGCGTGCTCTCTCTCTGACCTACATCAATAATTCAGTTGTGGGCCCGACAAGCGGGAAAGCAATTAAAAACTGGCAGCACGCACATCCTGGCTCATGGCTCCTGGCTCGCACGAGCAAAGGAGTGTTGCCTACTTTTTGGGGCCGGGAGGGCGAGCCATAAAGCATAAATCACACGCACCAACAACACGTGCCCGCCGTAAAGGCTCAGAGTTGAGCTGTCAGCGGTATAGAAAAGGACCTGGAAGCGGCGGGGAAAGTGAAAGTGAATGTGGAAATCGGCCGGGGGATTAGGCAGTGTAATTGCAAATTCCATGCCACGCACTCGAGTCCTAAATCAAACCGAATGCGAACCATTAATGTGACCGCAATTGCATAAAATTATCACGCACCAAGTCCGGGGTGAAAAGCCATTGGAAAATGGGTGGAAACTCGACAGGTTCCGCCTACGATTACCCCAGTGCCGATGATCCGCCGAAAGCAACAAGCAAAATAAGTCGGGAAAATGCCGCCGTACAACACTGCGTATGTGCAATATGCTGACTTTTACTTTTTAATTAAATAAAAATCGTTTCGCGGTCGCGGCAGTCTGAAAAGTTCACAGCAAAATGCAAACAAATATTGGCAATGACTCTTGAAATGGCGCTAAACTTTTCGCGGAAAGTTTCCAATTTTGTGGAGGCCAATTAATTGCTACCCACTGACTTGGCAAATTCTATTGAACGAAATGCTATGTCTTAAAGCGAAAATATATGCACAGGCCACCCCAACCGGCGATTGGAAAAAATTTGACTAAGTATATAATAAATATTTTATTGCCGCGACCAAGACGTTTATAACAACAAAACAGGGCACGCGGCCCACGTAATAAAATGTTGTCTAAAATAAATTTGCATGTCCTCCATGGCCCCGGGCGGCAAATGGGTCATGGGACTGACTGTCCGCCCGCCCGCCTGCTGTTCCGATCCCAATGAGGCCCTAAAGTGACTCTTGACTCGGTCGGGAATGCAAAGAGAGCGACCCAAAGTTGCCCAAACATTGTTTCATTTCAGTTTGTTAAATATTCCCATTATATTCAAAGTTTTCATCTATTTCAAGTGCAGTTAATCAGTGTGCAGGACACAGAGGTCTTTGCCATTGAAAGTGCAATAATTATCCTGCGGCTCTGGGTCGGCGTCGAGGGCTTTGCATTAATAATTACACAGTGACGATGATGATAATTTCCCGGAAAAGCCCTTATATTTCCACTCATCGCTATTTTAGAGCGTGGTTCGTGGTTCGCGGTCCTCCAGATGCTTGGAGAAAGCACTAAACATTTTTAATGAAGCCTGAAATCGAATGCGGGATGGTCCTCTCTCGGGGAACACTTTCCCGTCAAACTCGACCCATCGAGTGTCACGTGTGGCCTTTAAAAGAAACAAAAATAAAAAAAAAAGGAAAGGAAGCTTACTTCGGCACGCCGAAGTTTTTGTACCCTTGCATATCACTAGAAATTAATAGAATATAAATTATATATATTTATGTTAAAAAACACTAAAGTAATAACTGCTTTCATTATATTCACCGTTTTGCATTTTCCTCTATTTTTAACGATAATTTGTATGGCAGCTATATGATATGATATGAGCCACAAAATTCTAGATTAATATATAATGGCTATATATTAAATTTGATGAAAATCTATTGAAAACTGAAAAGTTATAATATATATTTTTTTAATTTTTCGATCGTTCCTATGGCAGCTATATATATGTATATATATAGTCCACCGATTTGCCATGCTCCGATTTATATACTAGTAAAATTATATAGAAGAATAACTCCATAGTTTCATTGAAATAGCTTGCTCATTGCTCCAAAACACATCTCGCACATGCTTATGATTCCCAACTCGTTCTAACATCCCCGGAACGAAGTGACTGCTGCCGGCCAAGTCTCAGATATGTGTTGTGTTACAAAAGTTGCAAGTCATTGTTTATAAATGTTCAAAGTGAGTAACTGATCATACATAATTACTGGGCATAGATACTTACTGCTCATAGTTACTTAATGTTCGTTGATACTTGCTGATCAGAGTTACTTACTGCTCATAGTTACTTATTGATTATAGGTAGATTAAATAGCTCGCTGTTTATCTCTGCCTCTCCCCCTCTCTCTCTCTCTATGGCTATCGCTTATGTTAATCTCTAGAGGCAACTCCTCTCCCGCGCACTCACACTCACTTTCTCTTCTCTTTTCTTTCCCCGGGGACTATAAATAGAGGCGCTGAGGTCGCGCGCGCCTCAGTCTGTCCTAGGGGTACCTAGTGTTTACATCGGTAGTGATAGTGCAAGTGATCAGCCTTCGAACTCAAAAATATAACGTGGCCAATGCAAAACATCTGGATGACCAGGAAGAAGCTCACTTGGATGAAGTGACCATTCTTGGTCACTACACCGGAAGGAAGTAAGCTATGACGTGTCCTTTACTGCGGTAAGTCTTAACCATGACATTTATATTATGGCTTTATATTCCAATTTATTTCCTTATTTCCATAGTCCCCTTTACATACTTAGATACTCATAATTTTATATGCTTTAGATACTTACTGATCAAGAAACTTACTGGTAGTTACTTAGTTGTTATAGATAATTACTGTTCAGAGTTACTTCCTGCTCATAGTTATTCACGGCTCATAGTTACTTACTGATCATAGTTACTTACTGGCCATAGATACTTACTGTCCATAGATACTTACTGTTCAGAGTTACTTAATGTTCGTTGATACTTGCTGATCAGAGTTGCTTACTGCTTATAGTTACTTATTGATTATAGTTAGATTAAATAGCTCTAAGTTTCTCTTTGCCTCTCCCCCACCTCTCTCTATGTTAATCTCTAGAGGCAACTCCTCTCCCGCGCACTCACACTCACTTTCTCTTCTCTTCTCTTTCCCCGGGGACTATAAATAGAGGCGCTGAGGTCGCGCGCGCCTCAGTCTGTCCTAGGGGTACCTAGTGTTTACATCGGCAGTGATAGTGCAAGTGATCAGCCTTCGAACTCAAAAATATGACGTGGCCAATGCAGAACATCTTGATGACCAGGAAGTAGTTACTTAGTTGTTATAGATAATTACTGTTCAGAGTTACTTCCTGCTCATAGTTATTCACGGCTCATAGTTACTTACTGATCATAGTTACTTACTGGCCATAGATACTTACTGTTCAGAGTTACTTAATGTTCGTTGATACTTGCTGATCAGAGTTACTTACTGCTTATAGTTACTTATTGATTATAGTTAGATTAAATAGCTCTAAGTTTCTCTTTGCCTTTCCCCCCCTCTCTCTATGTTAATCTCTAGAGGCAACTCCTCTCCCGCGCACTCACACTCACTTTCTCTTCTCTTCTCTTTCCCCGGGGACTATAAATAGAGGCGCTGAGGTCGCGCGCGCCTCAGTCTGTCCTAGGGGTACCTAGTGTTCACATCGGTAGTGATAGTGCAAGTGATCAGCCTTCGAGCTCAAAAATATGACGTGGCCAATTCAAAACATCTGGATGACCTGGAAGAAGTCACCACGTGGATGTAGTCACCATTCTTGATCACTACACTGGAAGGATGTAAGCAATGACGTGTCCTTTACTGCGGTAAGTCTTAACCATGACATTTATATTATGTATGATGCTGTTGGTGGGATCAGGCCTAGCTTTAGACTTAATATTCCAATTTATTTCCATGGTCCCCTTTACATATTTAGATACTCATACTCATACTTTTAGATGCTTTAGATACTTACTGATATAGTTACTTGCTGGTCAAGATACTTACTGTTCAGAGTTACTTAATTTTCATTCATACTTACTGATCAGAGTTACTTGCTGATCACAGTTACTTAATGTTCATTGATACTTATTGATCATAGTTACTTACTGGTCATAGATACTTACTGATCTTAGTTACTTAGTTGTTACAGATAATTACTGTTCAGAGTTACTTCCTGCTCATAGTTACTTAATGGTCACTGCGTTGCAAACTTCTAACAGGAATTATAATACCCTGCAAGGGTATAAAAATATAAAAGGACGAGCCAGAGCTGAGGATGAAGGGCAGAGCGAGAACAAATTGTCGAGCTTATTTATAACGAGTGGAATTTTTTAAGTTTGCGTGGGAGAGTGGAAGGGAAACCGGGAGAGTCCCGGAATTAGAAAATTCACGGGATGTAACATAAATGCGGGCCCAAATCCACTGGGAGACTTGGCCAGGAACTTGGGCTCACATGAGGCATTAGCATGTTATTTATTTCCAAGGACGAGTGCTCCGCAACACCACTCTCACTCTCAACACTGGAATCCTTATACATTCTGTGCCATTTATTTCGGCAGACGCATCTGCTCCATCTGCAGAGGAACAGGACTATAACATGATTTTGAAGAAGAATTTTGATGATACACTCATTTTCCCGGCAGAATGGGAGGACTTTCATGGTCAGAACATGTGTGTGGCAAGCCACATGCTGAAGGTAGCGTTCACATGAAATGTTTATTTGACTTTAGGCGCCGCCAGCACAGCCTGTTCAACGAATGAATATATCTCCGGCTGTAAGTAAACACAAAAGTTGGATTTATTGAACACTTGCACACGAACTTATACATTCATACGTATATACATCAAAAACTTTTGAAAAGCTCTTGTCTGCTATTTGCTCACTAGCCTGTAATAAATGCATAAATATTTATTCACGTTTCTAATAACAGTGGTCAGAGGAGAGTTGTATGTGTTGCATTTTATGAACTCAGTTTATTGAAATCGAAAAATAAGCGAACTCAAGAGCTTAGGTCGTTCAAGCCATTATAGCTTTATAATTTGGAAATGTGAAATATTAAGTTACGCATTTGCATTGGCCATGCATTAGTATTAATTAAAATCTCTACACAAATCCTAATTAAGACCAGTAATAACGAAAAATCAGTTGAATTTAATCAAGCTTCATGCGCTTTATTTAAATAACAAAAATAGTATAAAAACCTGATAAAATCCCACTCTAATTTAGTCTCAACTAGAAGCCTGAGCCTTTTCTGTAATTTTCCCGTTCAACTTAATCGATGGATGGATGGATACGTTGCAAAGTCATTAAGGGGAATACTTCCGTGAAACTTTCTTTAGTTTGTGAGCCATACGATTAAGCCATTATGGCCTCTTGTGGAAAATAGGTATACAGGGAAAATGGCTTTAAGAATGTGCTGTGTGTTTGCCACAGGACATTACCCGCAAAGCAGCCAGGACTTGGAAGCGGAGCCTGATGATGATGTGTTAATGAGCCCAAAGGGGTAACTATTCGGATAATGATTATTTGAGCATCGGGTCTCAGATGAGGGAAAACTTTTGGGACTCACGTGTGTACATAACATAGCACACACACTTGTGTTATGTGCGCGTTAAAGTAGTTTTGCATAAATCATGGCTGCCGACTAAAAAGAGTATTTATTTGTGGATTAGATTTAAGCCAGGATGCTGCTGTCGCTGGTGGTGTTGATGGTGTTGATGGTCCAAAAATAATTACCAGCCCGAGAGAGAGAGCCCTTGAGATGGCACACTGACCCTGAAAAGGCTCGGCAAACAATGGAAATTTTTATGTACATTTCATTGGACTTAATTGAATCGCCCGCCGTTAATGAAGATGCTCCAAAAAACCTCGGGCCTCCATACGCTGCCAAAAACACTCACTCACTATACACTTTATATGTATATATAAGGTGGGCGTAGCTCTCGTGCTGCTCGAGCAGTTTGTTATGATAATAATGTAAATTAATTACTGCTAGCAGCCATGGATTAGACCATCGTCCCTTTTGGCCAAACTGGCTGCTCTCGTCCTTGTTTTTTCTGTGGCCGTAATAATAATAATTTCCGCTGCGGCGGCGCTTAATGGTAAAGTCTTAACTTCACATTTCCGCATCACGACTCGTCGGATGGTGTAAATGCCTTCCATAATCGCTACATTGCTGCCGGGTTGGTCGGTTGCTCCTTGGTTAACTGCAATTTGGAGCCACTTGGCCCTGTCTGATCCCCGTAATTGCGATCAACTTAAGGTGATGTTATCGAAGCAAACGAATTAGGACAATCCGGCGGCAGTGCTTTAATTTATTGCAATTTTGTAACTATTTCTTTGTGGGGGGTGATGGTTTCGGTGATTTTTTATTACTAATTAGCATTGCCTGTGACATGGAAGGACTCAAGCATAAATCACGGTCATCCGGCTCGCAGCAAGGTATTTATTGCCTATTAACTAAATGCCCACTAATTACCAAAAGTAGCTTAAAGCCAAGCGAATGACTTGGCCGCAATGCCAGTTTTTATAACGCATAAAATATTTATGGCTCTGGCCGTCAGGTTCATAAAACGCACGCTTTCGGGGCAAGGAAGTACTCGTCGCCGAAGCCATAAAATCCCAATAGGCGATACCCAATGGGTGAACCGATGATGGTCCTTTGGTCCTTTGGTCCTTCAGGGTGTGTCCCCCCGGAGTCCCACTGCTGCTTGGTATGCGAAGCGTTGTCGCCGTTTTGTTTGCAATAAATGTTTAAACTCTGCATAACTTCTTAATAATTAAGCACCGGCCATAAATCACGTAGCCGACCGGAGGACCGCCGGCCTGCGCACATTCCATTAATTAAATCGCTGCATTAAATGTATTATCGTGCCGTTGCTCCTCTTATTGTTATCGTTATTTGCTGTGGCCATTCCCTGTTGTCCTCGTAGCCAGCTTTCGGTCGGTCCCTTAGCCTTATTTATGCTCCTGTCTAATTGGCTCTGCTAATCACAATTTGCGGTGCTCAGCGATTTGGTCTGAGGACCGCAACATGTGTTCCCTGCTCCCCGAATTGTTTGCTTTCGTTCTCTGCATATTATAAATATAGTGTAGATATTATATAGTACAGATGTGAGTTCATGGAGGCAGTGTAACATTTGCGGGGAGTTTAAGGAAAATAAATTAAAGTAGCTATGGAAAGACAGACTTTAATTGTTACCTATTGGAAAACAAGCTTCCTCCTTATACCCTTACAGGATTATACTTTCAGTCAGAAGCATGAGACTCCGTGAAGGATTTATTTGCGAAGATTTATAGCAAATATATTCTTGTTCAGCATTGAAAACTGAATCGATATAGTCATGCCCGGTAGAAATAAAAATTATAATTATATATATATATATATATATATATAAATATAAATAACGATTTAATATAACTAAAAATGATTGTCAAATTGATAAAATTAATGCGGTTTTTCCATATTAATGATCGATTTCCCATTCAATCTCTGCAAGGGTAAACAATCGTCGGCTTCAGTTTCCTTTCTTGTGTTAAATTAAATTCCACCCACTCTTCGCATCAGCTGCAGGCTTCTCTGCGAATTCCAGAGCTTTAAATGAAATATGTTAACAAGTCGTTTTATGAGATACTCGTACTGCTGGCCTTAACAAGTGAAAAATGCGCAACCTTCACATGAGGCGCTTATAAAGCGTTTTTCCTTTGCCGGGCGGATTGCACAGCTCACTTAATGCGAGCAGAGGAAAACCCTTTTGCCGGAGTTCATCAGGACTTGATATGAATCTGGCCAAGGGAAAAAAAAAACAGTCCGCAGGAAAAGAATATAAATTAAGCAGTGGTACTCGCCAGACTTTGCTTTTCAACTGGCTGTCATGTTTCCTCGACGGCAGAAACACTCACCTGCTACTGCGGGGAATAAATGTTGTTATTTTACTAAACGAATGAGTTTCTTAACCCGTTGCTGCCTGCCTTTATTTATGGTGCCTGCAAATTGGCCTTGGGTTCTTTTCAAGCTTTTCAAAAAATCTCTTCTGCAGAGGTCCTGGCTGTTAATTGAAGCGCTGCGTGGTCCAACGAAGCGAAGGCGTCTGAATTCTTAAGTGTTCTGCCTTCGAAGACAGGATAAATCAATCCGAAGGACAGAGACACCGAGACTGATCAACTCCATTAGCTCTTAAGCGATTTTATCTGCGATGATTAGACATTTTCACTTACCTTGTCGCGTTTTCCTAATTACTTGTTTGCTCGCATAAAAGCAGAAAAGTGGCTTGCTCAGACTTTGTGACACTTAAATATACCGAAGTTCGAATCACTCTTGAACTTGAGTTCCTTGAACTGAGATACTACGACACGAGAGGTGCAAAAATAAATCCCTGCCGGCTGACATTTGGCATTTTCATAGCCCTGTTTGAATTTCACGTACGAATTCATTGTGAGTGTGTGTTGTGTGTTGTGAGATTCCAGTGTCCTGTTTACATTCGGCAGTCCTTGTAAATGGTCGGCCAACAGGCATCCTTGCCTGTGATTCAGTCTCTGTCTGCGTCTGCCACTCGTTAGGATGTCATTGTTTTTCGGCCTGTTTGCTTTGCATTTAAGGCAATGCCAAAATCAATAGACTGCCTGGCACTTATGCACGCGCCCACAAGACTCGTGTTCGGCTCGCTCCTAAAGAGCTAGGGCAGGAGGAGGAGTATGGTAGATACCTGTACAAATATCCTTGGCTTTGGCTAAGGTCCCGGCCCATTCACGACCTCCATTTAGGCGCAAATGGGCACTGTGAATGGCCAACCTTTGCTGGTGGAGAACGCTTTATTATTTTAA